TGTATATATATATGTGTATATATATATATATACATATATATATATATATATATATATATATATATATATATATATATATATTGATGTGTGTATATATATGTATATATATATATATATATATATATATATATATATATATATATATATATATACATATATATATGTAATATATATATGTATATATGTATATATGTATATATGTATATATGTATATATGTATACATGTATATGTCATTAAGACTAGACTGTACTGAGAATGCAAACTAATGAAAAAAGTTTTAGAGAAGGATAGAAAAAGAACTTTAAATGTCATATCATACTATAATCATAATATAATCATAACATTATAATCATTACAAAAACAATGAACAAAGTTGTGCTATTACATAACAATACAATACCAGTTAGGTGAAAAAAAACTATCATATCTGATTCTTCACTTCTTTTGAAACTGACTGCTGCAGTTTCATGAGCATGAATCTGAAGAATAATCATCAGTTCATAAATCTTAATAATACTAGCTCATTACTCTGACATGAATCAATCTTTCATATGAAAGCCATGTTTTTAAATCTCATAAAATTTACTGTATGAACTATAAAAATATCTCTATCATGGTCCCAAAATAAAACCAAATGCGCTTTTGTATTTTCAATTTCACAGGAACATCATAAGACAAATGAGTGGCTCTCAGTATCATATTTATATCTCTTAAGTCCTCTTAACTACTTAAGTTCCAACAAGTACAAAAGCAACATCTCTTGTAAATACCAGTCAGATGAAAATAAAAACTTACACGTTTGAGGAAAAGGCATACCATTTCTTGTCAGTAAGCAATGCCACCTCATGGTATCTGAATCCAAAATAGAATCTATATTGCTGTCTTTCACAATAACAACATGATGCAATTGTTTTGCATTAGTGAAAACCTTCAAGTTATCTCTGAACACAATGTTTCAACAGAAACACAAACAAATGCAAATACCTTGGTTTATCTGTATCTATTCTTATGTGCATCTATCAGCACTAAATGATGGTATGAATTCATCTCTAACAAATTAACAATTAAAATCTCCTTTGATTACAAATATAATGAGCCTCCTACTATCCACGTACTCTTACATACACTGGTACAAAGATATTTTACATCTTAAACCATGATGACAGAAAAATGAAGGAGTGCATAATATGTATGGATATATGTAGGTATGTATACATATGCATATTAGTAATTAAGCAAGTATGTATATATGTATCTATGTAATCTAACCCATTAATGCAGGGATGGCAAAAATACGTCATACCTGATGTATTTTTTGTTTATCTATTGTCTTTACAAATAGATGGCTCCACAAGTCCTTAAGTCCTAAAGTTTAACTTATTCCTTGACTTTTGAAGATTCTTTTAAAATTCTAATTGCACTAAATTGGTAATACCATCATAATGATCATAATTTCAACAATAATAATGGGAATATCATTACTACTAGCATTTGAAGAAAAAAATCTATCCAAAAACTCAAGGAAAGAGGAAATCATTACACAGGCCTACTAAGTGGATCCTTTGTGGCTGAGCACTTGTGGAGCCATCTATGTGCAAACAAAATTCAAAAAAGAAAACTAAAGTCAAGTATGCATTTGCCTAACAGCAATGGGTTAATAGAAAGATTGACATATTGAACACTACAAGATACAAAAATTGGGGATAGTGATATTTTTTCCTTAAGGAAGGAAAAAATAAATAAATAAATAAATTTTTAAAAATCACTTGTATGTGACTGATTCTCTTACACGAAGTAAATGATACAATATTATGATACTCAGATCTATTTTATGAAAAAAGGTGATTATAACTCTAAATTCATAAAATAATACTCCATATAAAAAAGGTTACTTCATGGAGATGTATATTGAGATGCTGGTGCTAATAATACCATCATAAAGCTATTCATAAAAAAAATATTAGTAAGGTTCTCCAATTCTGCAATTCACAGGATGCCCTACCTCTTAAATCTTATTCAAACTATCAAATATAACTGTTTCAGACTGGATTGTGTACTGGAGAAAAGGGGCAGTGGAGAAATTGTTTTGTGCCAGGGACTCCCTTGTCTAAGGTTAAAGCTAGTTCTTGGAGACTTGAGTACAGCCAGTGCCACCTCTGGCCGATTGGCTGTCTTCCTCCTGCTCTGGGCCTGAAGGAATGGCCTCTGTAGCTCGAAGCAAGTGTGACCTTGCGGAGCCCATGTGATAGTAGAGAAATATTTAGTTCTCATGGGAAACTTTTATCTCCTATTATCATAATTGCTCTTTCTCTTTTTATGAACCACATTTACTTACATCTATCTTTAACAGTTTTACTTCCATCTATCTTTAACAGCTTTACTTCCATCTATGATTTGTCATCATAATTAATGTAGAGGATAATTAAACGGACATCGCCACCATCTTTGAAAGTCTACGGACCGACGCGCCAAATTTCGAGAGAGAAAACTCTACGGGAA